AAAAACCAAAAACACATGGAGAAAAACTGAGAAGAATTCCACAGAACAGAACACTTTGACAGCTTGGGTAACTCACAATGACACAGGTTGAATAATCCGACGCTGATGGCAGGAAAGCAAACAGCCTAAATAGCTGCAGGGACCAGGTGAATCAGATTGGCAGTAATCAGCCATAGAACCAATTGGGCAGGTGAGCAGGAGCAGAGGAAAAAACCCAACCATCAGCGCCAGGTTTATGACAAGAACAGAAGTGGGGAAAAAAAGAAGAAAAAGGAGAAAGGATGAAAGAGGAGATAAAGGGAGATAATGATAAAACATAGTTTGTTGTTCTTTACAGTAATGCGATTTTGCAGGAACTTTTTACTGACAGCTTGGCTCCAACTTTGCATCTTCTAATTGTTACATAACTGATAAGTAACTTTAACCCCTTGTTAAAGAACTAGAGCTGACCATCAGCTGAGTCAGAAACATTTGGCTATTCTTTGATATATTTAAATGGAAGTTTTCTGTTTTCTTTCAGGTCGTTCTGGTTTTAGTTTCCCATTTAAAGCATTTCAGATCATATTAGATAGCTAAGTAATCTTTTTATATACTTTTTCTTTAATATGTTTTCCTTCAATCAAGATGGCATATGTTCATTCTGATTTCCATCTGGATAAACTATTTTGACTTTAGTTTTACATAGTAATGGACTATGACCTGCTCACATAAAATGCATGTCTTTAAATAAGTGTAATCTATTTGAATTCTGTCGTCAGAATTGATTATCCAAATTATTAAACCTCAATATTGGTATCAATTTGAACACTCCCCCTTTTAACTATTAATACATTTAATCAGTATGTCCTGAATGCTGATTTTGTTGTTTTTTAAATACTCTATTACTCCAAAAATTTATGTAATTAACAACAGGCGTTGATTGGAAAGTCAAGTTAGACTTTTTATTTTTGATATAGTTACATGTAATGGGTGTAGATTGTAAAAAAAAAACACACATGCAACACCTATGACAGGGTGTAGATTATACTCTAAACCTTTTTTGTCCTTTCCCCCCCATGTAAAAATAAGCTACAAGCTCTCTAACAGGAGCTAAAGAAAGAGTTTCTCTCTTAGAAGAATTGAAACATTTACAAATAGCAAGGTGAAGATTTTTTTTCAGCTTGTACATTTAACAGACTGTATAATGTCGCTGAAGAATTTTTAAAGTTATCAGTAATTAGTTTCTATAGTATTTACATATTTGCCCCATTTTACACTTTATGTGAGTCATGCTGAGGTATTCGTTGGAGAGCATGAGAACTAAGCCGCTCCCCAACTTCTCTTTTGCTTTCTCTCTGTAATCTGGGTTTGGTGAATTGCATAATCATAATCTCCACCATCTTCTTTCTGTTATACTAACTACATAAGTAGTTACAGGGTGATGACAAATAGCAGGGCCAGCCCTAAAATAGTTTATATGTGAGCTTATGCGCTGTGTAAAGAGGTGGGTTTGTGACCATTGTCAAAAAGAGGGTGGGAGATTTTTTATGGTTATCATTGTAAATTTGCAGCTTAAGACACGGTATTGTATTCTATACCGAAAGATCTGTAGTTATAAGGGAAACAAGGTGAAGTAGTCATCTGTTGTGGTATTTGTTTGGATGTTTGCTTCCTCTTGCAATGTGATATCTCTAAAACAAGCCTTGGCACAAAGATAGACACCTATTTATACTCTTTCTGAGAACAATAGACATTAGTTTTAATCTGAAAGGTTGTGGCCTTGTGAACAAACCCTGTTTTCCTTTTAAAGTATCCAACTGATTCAAAGAGACAAGCGCTAGGAAGAGAGAGGAAGCTGTTGTGGGGCTAAGTGAACTGTGCCAGTCCATTGTGAGGGAGTGTGTGTGCACGCTGTTGTTTATAATAATTTTAGAGCGCCGCATGTTTGCCTGGCAATGGACTAAAACCCAATCCATGAAACAATGAAGTCATGCTGTAAGAATTTGTGGTAATCTTCATGCAGCAACATTCATTTATCACTATTGTGTCACATTTAGCATTTCTGAGGCTTTGTGGCTGTAAGAACAAGATTAGATGCACAGTATACTGAAATGCTTTTGTCATGAGAGTTTGAGTAGCCTAAAAATATTGTCATCTTACTTTCTTTTGGTCCACACACTGAATGTTGATGTCATACCAAATTCAAAAGGTCATGCAAAAACAAGGGATCACATGCAAAGAAAAGTGCTGCAAAGGAGACCAACTGTAATCAGAGAAAATAGAGAGCCGCAAAGTGGAAGCATACTGCCGACATAAACATTGCTGCAAATGCATAGATGATGCTGAAACACAAAGCACATGCAGCAAGTTGCAAAAAACAGCTGCAAGTTAAGAGAAGTCGCAAACTAGTGCCACATAATGGAGGTGGTCCAGACATCTAGGGGGAGATGATCATCAACTTAAACATAAACAAGATGCTTTTATTTCTTCACTCCAGATATCCTCTGATCTGGTTCCTCCGCCATTAGTTCGCCATTACACCCTCTGATGCATCAATGCAAGCTCGATGGAATTTTGAGGCCTGAACGGTCCACTCGCCCTACCCACTGCGTGGTTTGGGACGGCCCTTAATGTGGTGGACCCTCCATGGGAACGCACAAACGGAGGGTAAGTGCTTAGTATTTAGGGGTTTGAGATTGGGCCTATTTGTTAGAAATGTCTATGTGCTGGTCTCATATGTTTATCTCCCCCTTGTTGCCTTGATAACTCTTGTTATGAGAAACAAGCTAGCTGCTTTCTTATATCATTGCAGCACTTTTCCCTTCATGTGTTTTATGTGTAAATTTGATTTTTTTTTTTGTTTCCTACTCTAAGATTTGAGTTTGCTATATTTACCCCTCTGACACTGTATGAACTATACTAAACTCTGATTCTGTTGGTATATCGTACAGATGCTCATTTAGGCCGTTATTCTCATTTTGTTGTTCAAAATAGTTATAATTCCAACTGTGATGGGTGCATTTACAGCCACACCGATGTGGTAACAAACACAATTTATTCTTTATTTCTTTTACTGTATTTCATACAGGGTTTCATTTACAGAGCAATCTCCATCCATCCATTTTCCATCATGCTTTTCCCTGCTGGGGGTCAGGAGGGGTGCTGGTGCCCACCTACAGGTGTCAAAGAGGCGAGAGGCAGGGTACACCCTGGACAGGTGGCCAGTATATCGCAGGGCAACACAGAGACACACAAAGACACACACCATTCACACACACTCATACCTAAGGACAATTTAGAGAAACCATTTAACCTAACAGTCATGTTTTTGGACTGTGGGAGGAAGCTGGTGTACCCGTGGAGACCCATGAAAATTCCCACAGAGAACCTTTTTGCTGAAAGGTAGCAGTGCTACCCTCTGTGCAGCCCGAAAGCAATCTCATTATTTGGAATGTATTCATCACCATTAAACTGTAATCCAAAATTAGTGGACACTCTTTGGTTGTTTCCTGTTTTTGTCATGATTGTGTTTAATTTATATTCTTTTTGAGTTTTGCAGTTGCTCCAGTCCCTTGTCTAAAGAACCGGCAGTAGGCCAAGTTAAGTTAAGTTTTTATATGTTTTGCCCCATGTGTTTCTTTTGTGGACTAATCAGCCTCTATTTCAGTTCCCCTTTGTCTGATTAAGGGAGATCAGTTTGAGTTAGTGTTGTTCTGTTACAGATATTTGTCGTTTCGGTTCCTTTAACTTCTTTTATGGATCCATTTCTGTACCTGCTACATTTTATATTTTTGGGGGGCTTAAATAGAAGAATCCTGTTTTTGACATACACCTGGTCCTGACTGTCCTTACTGCTCGGCCCATCACACTGACCAAAAAACATGGCTTCTTTTAAAAACTTTAGAAAGTTTTGTTTTTGTTTTGTTCTTCTGTGATTATACCTAACCTAAAAATATACCTAAGAAAAATAAAATAAGCAGAAAATACAGAACCAATATTAGATTTTTTTGACCTGTTACAAATAAATGCAATGCTTTTTTAAAACAGAAGGAAAATGATTATTTTTGCTGTTTGCTTTTTTTTTTATCATTATTATTATTTGATCAACACATTACAGGTAGAACAAACCTTGTTTCACCACAGGAATGAAAGTCTTAATGTCAGACTCAATTTCTTTTCCCTAATAACAGCAGATATCACACCTGAGAATGTTGATAGCAGAAGAAATAAAAAAGTCCTGCAAAGTTTGTAATTGTTCCTACAATGTTTGTTTGAACAGATTTGTTTTCTTAAACATACAAAGTTTAAAACCAATTTAATCGAAAAACTGCATCATTGCAGCAGAAAAAGAGTTACTTTAAAATAAGTAATCTTCACATCTCTAATCTGAATAGACTACATGATTTCTCAAAAATATTTTTGGTAGAAATGAAAAAGCAATTATGTTTTTATCTTGTAATAACAAACCTCTTCTGGTAAAACTCATTATTTCAGCATTGAATAAGTGTGCACCTCATGTCTCGTCAGTTTTTGGGAAAAGCTGAAATATAATAGATAAAAACATGAAAGCATTAATGCACAAAGGTCCCTGTAGCTACTTTCTCTTCTCATTTAATTGATTCAATATGATTGCATCAAACTTTAAACATCTGTGCCACTGACAGTCATACTTTGATACTTAATTTTAATGCCATCACAGATTTTCTTTTTTCTGATAACTTAACTATTAACACAACTATTAAAACTAACTAAATGTTGTACATTCAAACATTAGAAAGTAAGTTAAACATTTTTAATGGTTCTTATTTGATTAAACCAACAATTCAGGAGGTTAATTGCAGAGAAAAACGTCAATTTTTTTTTCATGTTAGGTGTTTCAACATAATCATCAATGTTACTGTTGGTTATAAGTTTTACAATTGGACCCTGATTCTGCTCAGATGGTCTGGTAAAACTATAAGCACAATGCAGTGAAAAAATGTCTTGAAAATCAGATCTTAAATTATGAACTTATTTTTGGGATTTTTTTTTCTCCAGACTAGTTATTAGACTATTATTATTAGACTTTATTATTATACTAGTTTTAGTCTAATGATAAAGTGATTACATTAATATAGAAAAACCACAAATTTAAGTCTGACTTTTTTGTGTGTGATTCTGTGATTCTAATAGGCACATTTTAAGCTCTGGTAATAGCTTTTCTTCTCTAAATCACGTATTTACCACTACAATTAAAATCATTTATCTTTTTTTCTTCTTCATGGAAGTATAGAGGGGTAGGCAGCTCACATCCTGTTCAACATCTGCACTTCTCTAGAAGTTACACCAGATGAGATATGCTCTGATTTGTTTCCGCTGTACCTTTTTTTTTTTTTTTTAGCTTGATTCATCTTTGAGCTTCTGCACTATTTTTTTTGTACAGGCTTTACTCAACTTCTGAAAGCTGCACATTATACAGACTGAC